AAACTGAAAGAGATTGACTCCTGATGTGACAGATAAACTTCAAACCCAAATAACATATTTTTGATAAACAACTAACATTAAAATAAATGCAACTCTTGACATTGAAATAAACATAAATATTACATGAATTAGAACATTTAGTGGTCAATATTTCTTTGGGTTTAATAAATATTGAATATTGATATGAAACTGAATTCTATGCTGTTCCAGTATTTAAGATGCCTTTTGCAGTTCAGAATACAATTTACATGTTTCACTAGTGTTAATGGAGATGTGTTTGCTCGATTCCTACTGGCTTGGGTGTAAACAATGTTAATAATAATGACACAAAAAATGTAATAATTTTCAAAAATGTAAATGCCAAAACTTCCTATTTCGAAACTTTTGAATCTCGAAAATCGGTGATCGAATCTCGAAACCGAAACTTTTCCAAAGTTTTGATGGTTTTGAGATTTGAGATTTGGTTTTGACACATCACTAGTGGGAAGTGTCTTTGGCAATTACATTAATGTATCTGCAATCCTAAAATGCTATGGGAGGAGAGGGAAACTGGTCCACGCCGTAGGGGGTGGTGAAGGTAGTAGTAAAGGTGAGCAGTGTTGAGTGTGGGAATGGATTAATGTATCTGCAATGCTAAAATGCTATGGGAAGAGACTGTTGACTGTAGGTTAAAACGATTACGAAGCACGAATCGGTACATATTTCGATACATACTATCGTTTACAATAGAAATTTAAAACTGAGTTGACAACAGCTGATTTTTAATCCATAGAGGGTAAAAACGATTTTTCCTCCCTAAAGAGTAAAAATGCTACTTTAGACCCGCAACGCATGCATTAAAAACGACTGTTTTTACTGGAGTATGACAAAAACAATATAATATGAACCCTTGATGACTCCGCTCAATTTTGTGGATGCCTCTGCGAACCCCACCTAGTTATTTTTTTATTTATGACAACAGCTAATTTGCAACCAAAAGGTGAGTGAGCGTAGCGAACGAACTTCAACCTGGAGGCGAGTTAGCGTAGCGAACGAGCTAACCTGAAGGCAAGTGAGCGCAGCGAACGACCTGCAACCTAAAGGTGAGTGAGCGTAGCGAACGAACTTCAACCAGAACGTGATTGAGCCATGAGAACGAGCTCACTTATGAAGTTAAACGGGGCAAAGCCCGCGGGTACAGCTAATATTACATATTACCATATGCTTTAAAAAAAGTTAAACCACATGTTTTAAAGTAAACAAAGCAGAAATTACCTGGATTACTATGCTATTTAAATGTGAATTATTTTATTATTACCAACATTTTGGTGCATGACTAAGAAAAATGAATAATTTTCCCAAAAATTTCATGCACAGACCTTAAAATGAGACCTCTCCCAGCTTCCTACGGCCTCCCGTTCACTCACAATTTCATTGTAAAATTTTGGGCTTACGGAATTAGATATATAGATGTTTTATATACAGCGTGAGGTGAAAATAGAGAAGCCTGTAGGCTACCTTTTACTTACAACAACACATTCCATCCCCATGTTAAAGTTGCCCCAGTTAAATTAAATTTGTCTTAGTTGATGTGAGCCACCAAGAGATTGCCCTGATCTAAATGAATAATGTTTGTCAAATACACGATGCTTTTCACCAAATCAAACTTTTGGAATGACTCATTATAAGCTAAAGCAACTGTTGAACTGTTATGATCCATCTACTTTGTCAGCAACAAAAATAAGGTAGAAAATTGAATTTTATACACACATTTTGTGACTGGCTCACACAACTACAGGTTTTTAAAATAAAAAAAATGGCGACAACAGGTCCATATAGATGGAATGTCTACTTCAGTATCCAATAGTCAATGCTTGTAAGTTACATATTTTTGGTCGAGTTTTCGACCACTGGACCACTAGTCCATATATTAATAGGCAAGCATGTTTCTTTAAAACCTTATTTCTCAGCTCGTGTGCATCGTATTATAAAAAGTAACGTTCAAAACACGAGTGAAAGTGGGACCATTTAAAGTGTTCGTTAAATATCTCACACTTCTAACATGGTCTCAAATATGTAATGACTCTTATGAAATATACTACTGTATTTATTATTTTACCCAAACCCGTCATGTTAAACTTCCCTATCCCAAGCGTGATGTATACAACTTCTTTACTTCTCAAGTGATGTAAAGTTGAAAAAACTCACTCGTTGAGGTAATGAAACCCATTTAAATAACATTGAGTGATTAACTTAAAAAATATACCTCTATGGAGCCAACGGTTCAACGCTAGAAATCAGCTGTGCTCTTAAATTTTATTGTTATGTTTTGAAGAATTTTCCTAACCTAGCTTTTGTTTGTAAATGAACGTTACTGTTATAAGATGAGTGAAATGGATAATGAAAAATATTGATCGTAACCTCCTGTATATTTTCGGGTCAGGTAAAATCTTGTACGTTACACGTTACGCAAGAGCGTGTTTACATCACTTAGGTAAATTGCGTGCACTTATTCACCTGCGTGATGTAAAACGCTCTTACTACACTTGTAAGGTAAATAGCTATAACATTTATTTTATTTATTTACAACATAAGAAATAAGGTGTAAGATTAACATAAATTAATGTGTTGGATTGCTAAGTTAATTTTTGTAAAACAGTCCTTAAGTTGATACTTTTGTTGCAGAAAATGATTGAAATACAATTCCCAGGATGTTTTTGGGAATTTCTAGATAGGATAAAATATTTTGTAGTGAGGTTCTTAGAAGTTTTGGGAATTATTAAAGATGACAAGAAAAAGGACAACGATGATGATTGATATTTGAAAATAGTTTTATTGTTGGGAATTATTCAGTATTTTTCTTTAATTATTAGTAGCCTACAAAATACTGTAAATACATCATTTGACCTCTCTGTAGAGTTATTTTTTTCCAAGCAAAACATTATGATTACCATGTTAAACATTCCAAAAGAGTTCTATTTTTAAAAGGCTCCATAAAACATTACTTGGTTGATGAACCTGATGAGATTAAAATATCAGTAGTAGCTAAAAACCGAATACCCCCGCCGCAGCAAACCTGCAGACTAAGCAAATTTCAATTTGCCTCATTGGATTTACACAAAATTGTCTCCTTAAAAATATCACATTTATTCCCTATTTAAATAGAATCAGTTTAACACATACTTAGGTTTGCTGTGACAGGGAGGGTAAAAGTGTTTTTTTTTTATGTAAAATGTTAATAGTTAGTAAGAAATAAAAACATTTTCCAAATTTGGGCAACATATGTTAATAAACAAGCAAACTACAACAGTTTACTTATTCTCCATAAGAATAACATGAGAATTTTAGATTTACAATTTTTTGGAATTTTCTCCGTAACCATTAGGCGCATTATAACGCTTCAATATACTAAATTATTTGTTTTTTTAAGCTCTACAAAATTGTTTGGAAAGAAATTGCAAAATTTTATGTTTTTTGGGTCAAAAATGGGAAAACCCCATTTTTACCCCATAAACCCCCGTATCCATGGTCCGATCATGCTGGTTTGCGAACTCGTTCGAATAAACGTAGTTTTACACGTTTGTACCAAATTTCATCAAAATCGGATCATTTTTGCTCGAGTTATCGCGCTTACGGACACACACACACATATATATATATATATATGAATTTGAACGGATGGTGTTCGAAAAAAAAATCGGTCCCGGGTCCAGGTCTTACCATGAGTACTACGGTAATAGCTTATTCCCTATATGGGAAATTCGCTAAAAAATAATAATGAAAGTGTAATTCTTTAGTTTCAATGTACCTTAAGCCTGAGTATAATCAAATCTTTTTACAAATAATTAGTTTCTATATTTGTGTTACTAACATTCTATGATAAATAAACACTTAATCTTGTTTCTATAAACGTATTAATTTGTTGTTGACGAACTGCTTAGGTGCTCATGAAGATTTTTATGACAAGGCCAATAATAATAATAATAATAATAATAATAATAATAATAATACCAATTCAAATAATAGTAACGTTCCAAGTTCCACAAAAGCATAATCCTACACAGTTAAATGAAATTAAGTTTGAATTAACTAGCACTGTGCACGTTAGTATAAAAATAAATTAATTCTAATAAAAATATATGTTTAGAATTTTCACTTAACAAACACACATAGCTATCTAGAAATTTTAACTAATTTCTAGATTTCAAATTTTCAATGGATGAATAAAATTGTAAACTTAAAAAATATATAAACCTTAATTCTATATACAGTGAATACCTTTTTGGTTGGTTGGGTATGTATCTTATTTTATTAGGCATGCATCACCCAATCAAACAAAACTCTTGGATAGTTATTGCTTTAGTCAGTATTTGCCTGCCAACTGTGTACTGGGGTGGTTAATTACTTAATATAAACCCACAAGGTAAATCTTCAAACGGTAATGGAAATTGTCAGTTGTATCCTACGAAAAACATAAAATCTGTTTTTAAAATTTTTATTTTTAGTATTTTTTTTATATTTTGTTCACAGATTTATGTTTGCTCTTTAAGAAATATAACGGTTAATCAAAATAGAAATGTAAATAGAATTTTAAAATGTATGTAAATAGAATTTTGCGTTTGTATATATACTTTCTGATAAGATTATACTTTCTGTTATTAGTTTTATTTAGTATTAGTAAATTGACAAGAGTTTTCCTGTAACTTTTATTTATTTATTTATCAATAATATTTTTGCTTTATAAAAACACAACAAATATTTGAGAAATAACTTGATAAGTTTTCAGGCATTGTTTTATCCCTTAACATCACATATAGAACAAGGTAAACATCGCCCGACATCCTAGCATCTAGGGATGGTATTGCAGAAAAGACAACAATCAAACTGGTAAGAGTGGTAAGCTTGTCATAGATCGGTGGTGGGGGTAGAGTCGACTTCTTCTCTCCAGTCAGCTGAGCGAGCGCTGAGAGAAAGAGAGAGAAGAAGAAGAGAGCTGTCAGCTGTCAAGTGCAAGTGTCAGTGTCAGTCTGTGTTGTGCGCTCCTTGTAGCAACAGAGTACGTCAGCATGTCGGCAGACTCAGAGCTCAGCACGCTCCTCAGCAGACGACAGGCTATCAACGAAGCCCTGGGAGAAGGCAAGGAAGTTAAACCAACCTTCAGACAGGTTCCTCGTAGTATCTACGCTGAGTTCCACGAGTTCAGCCGAAGACAGGTCAAAGACTATGAGAACACATTTAACAAGTAAGTAAACACAATTGTTATTCGCAAAATATTTCCACAGTATGTGGTGTGGTGTGGCTTTAGAGATATTCTTACCATATGTGGTTACATTTGTGAATTATGATAAGCAAGTTATTATAAATTGGTGCTGTTAATGTACCTGAGAATATTCTTATAACTGCAGTTTTTTATATAATTTCGGAGAATCCTTACAACATTATAACAATTGAGGAATAGGTTAACAGAAATCAGATCAGAAATTAGAAACATTTATTGCCGAAAACATTACAAAAATGTATAGGCCATCGTCAGGTACAATTTATAGCAAAAACATGAATTGTTTGTCTTAAAAAACAACCATTATAAGAAGCAGTCTTTAAATCGTCTTTAGATTTCTATCATAGAAGTTGATTGAAAAAAATATATAAGTATATAAACAAATGTCAACAATACATAAATTTTTTTAACAGTTAAAAAAAGTCACAATAACAAAATAAGACTCAACAATATATAGTACAAAAAATTGTTAAAATTGCTATGGGCGGTAACAGGAGATTCAACAATAGAAGCATACATTTAACATTAGACAACAAAAAACAAACAGCACATCTGACATTAACAATAAAAAACTAATTAATTGAACTTGTTTTCAATAGTTATTTGTGCAACTAGTGAGCAAAGCACTCTTTTTGCACTCGAGTTGCACATTATATTTTTCCTACAGTTACAATAAAACAAACAAATTAGTAAAGAAACGTGACATTTTTACACAGAAGTGAACTTTTAATATGACATTAATGATCAACGCGATCAACAACAGTACAACAGCTGACCAGCTGATTTACAGCCAGTGCTGCCAACGTATTTGGCTATTTCGTGCCTTCACGTTGCAAATCTGGAGTGAGACAAAGTAATTAGAGTGAGACAATGTTAACATTGTCTCACTGATGAGCGAATTGGCCACTTTGCTCTCTCAAATCAGTGACAGAACATGTACATTGTTAGGTAACTGTAGGAAAAGGAATCTTTAATGCTGTAAAAAGGTTTTGCTGTTGAAAGAGAATTCAATTTACATTTAAAACTTTTTAAGGGTAGACAAGTTAACTTATAAGGAAGGTGATTCAACATTTTTAAACCTATAACTACATGGCTCTTTTGAGTTTTACTTAACCTAACTCTAGGAACATGGACCTTAAGTTGTGCTCTGGTGTTATACTTGTGAACATCTCTGTTGAAAGTACATTCTATTTTTTTACTATAGACACATAACATGAAAATATATAGATTTATCATAGTCATTATTTTAAGTTCAGCAAAAAGAGGTTTACAATGAGCGTTCAATTCTGAGCCTGTCATTATTCTAATAGCCTTTTTCTGCAAAATCAGTACTTCATCAATTCTTGAGCTATTACCCCATATAATTAAACCAAAACTGATGACACTGTGAAACAAAGCATAATAGACATTGGTAACATAGGTTGAAGGAACATGAAATCTAACAAAAATATAACTCTGTACAGTTTTGAACATAACGTGGTTTATTTGGTTACTCCAGGTTAGGTTGTGATCTATTTTCAAGAAAAGTTTAATACATTTCTCTTCGGACTCATCTGGGGGATATTTATTCAAAATGAAAGTAACATTTTGAGTTTTGGTTTCATTAACTGTGAATTTATTCAATTTAAACCAAGTGATGGCACTTTGCAATGTCTCATCTGACATCATGTCAACAGATATCAAATCCAAAGCCTTAGTAATAAAGGTAGTGTCATCTGCAAACATTATTGTATCAGAATTTACAATATTATGTGGAAGGTCATTAACCATGATTAAAAACAGAATCGGTCCAAGGACCGAGCCTTGCGGAACCCCAGCTTGCAAAACCAATTCAAGTGACATTTTACCTCTAATTTGGTTAACCTGTCTACGTTCCTCTAAGTAAGATTCAAAGAAACGCACCCCTGAAACACAGGGAATATCTCTAGTCCTGCCTGAAACCAAAATGATTAAGTTTTCCCAAAAGAATGCCATGATCTACACGGTCAAAGGTCTTACTCAAATCACAGACTGTAACTCGAGCTAAACCACCAACCTCAAATACATAAATAACATTTCGAATAAGCACACCAACAGCATCGGTTGATGACCTTCCTGTTCGATAACCAAACTGTGAATTGCATAAAAGATCATGACCGTCCAAAAACTTACATAATTGGGATTTTACGATTGATTCAAAAACCTTACCTTTAGTAGGAACTAACTATATCGGCCTGAAATTCTGAGGCAACAGCCGACTACCACTTTTGTGTAGAGGAATAACTATGGATAATTTTAGGACAGTAGGAAAAACACCTTCAGACAAACACATATTGATACAAAAGGTTAACGGTAATACTATTGATCCTAGGTATTTAATCAAAAAATTAGAGAGGCCATAGATATCTTTACTTTTGGAATTTTTCATACGCTGCACAACACTTGTGAAACGATTCAGATTCCGCCAAAAGGTCTAATGCACAATGAGATGAGAGGTTAGTGGATATTGAGAGGTTGGTAAAACTAAAGTAATAGGATTTTTAAGAAATGTTATGTCTTATTTGACTTATCAGCTAATTGGAAACTATACAAAAATGTAATGTTAATTTTTTATAGCCTATATACAATGCTTATATTAACAAAATTATGGTAGGTCTAAAGTACATTGCCATTGGGTATAAAACAACATACATAACATACACATAACACACACACATTGTATAAAACACATTGTAAATTGTATAAAAGGGCCGTAAATAAATGGTCCTGTCAATTCTGTGATACTACTAATATTGGTTAGTAACAAAGCTATAGCCATTTATTCAACTCTTATGCACCCAGATCACTCAAGTTTGCCTTAAAATACGTGTCGATAAATCTAATACAAGATTTTATCAGTCCTTGTAAAATCTGTGGAAACCCCAACTCAATCGTAATTCGTTTGAACACAATCATGTACTCATTTTCAATTCTACAGCGTCAAAATTGGAAATTAAATTAATTAGAAACTCATTGCAGCCAAAGCGTTGCGTGTGCGAGGTGAGGTGTATGCCTAAATGCGTGTAAATTTGTCGAGGGTGGCCACAATACGTCTGAGCGGCGAGCGGCGTGTTTTATTCTAGTTTTTTTCTAAAAACTAAGATTTTCTTTAAAGGAGAATAATTGTTAGATAGCAACAATAATACTGTAGTTGCGGGTAAGCACAGTTTGCCATTTTCGGAACGCGGAGATAACGGGAGCACACGGGAACAAAAGTTATGTGAAGAAATTAGCCTTCAGCCGCGGAACAAAAGTGACACACGCGATAAGTGATACTTTTTGTCCGTAGTCCTTTTTTAATTTCATTGCCGTATACTGAGCATTCTAAAATACTTTTTCACAAACTCGCACCTAAAAACTGGTAGGTAATGTATGTCAATACCCATTTTTCTATAATCCCCATGAAATTGGGTTCACTTTTCTTCTCTGACAACCCATACGTTTTTGTTCTATTGGTACCGTAAGTTCAAATGACGCAACAGTTTATTTCCAGCCCCAGTGTCTTAACTCGTTAAACTCTGCTTAATACTATTTAAGTACGGAATAAGTAGTCATGTTAGTGTAGATCCATCAGGCAAATGAAAGTTCGCTTAGTCTGCAGGTTTGCTGCAGCGGGGGTATTTTTATACTGCACAGTTCACTACAGAAACTGCAATGGAAACCGATCACTACTGGTTTTACCTCTACAACGTAACCACCACCACACGATTCATACAAGGCCAACCACCCCCACCCATGGTCTACCGGAGCCACGGACAAGGAAGGACACCCACAGTTCTGACTCAGTTTGAAGTCACAAATACATCTTTGTTATGTATTCAGCCTTTGACTCGACCACTGGCTACTGTACTTCTGACTCGTCCTAGATTACTTTTGATTTACGTAACTTTCTCTTTATGAGTCGTTGAATGAGTCATACCTACTGAGTGATGCCGATGAGTCATAGTTTGGGGTATAAAATGAGTATTTGTTTACAACAGTTATCGGCTCGATAAGGAACGTTCTGTGATGAGTTATACAGTATGACAGGGAGAGATATTGCGATTGTGTATGGAATCTATGTTATGAAACAAGAGGTTTGGTTAATCGTTACATGACATAAAATCAAAAATCAAATCAAATCAAACATCATTTATTCCAAGAAAAACAAAAATAACAAAACAGTATTCTTAATAATAATGGAACTTCCCCACATAGGCGAAGCCTGTGCGTGGGGAACGAGTTATTATCAGACCATCCATGTTATACAATCTAAACATCGTTTTAATAATAATTATTACTCTACATACTAATTACACATTACAAGAAAGGGGAACAAACAATTATACCAGAAAGCCACAGCAGATAACGAAAGTATTATGGAAATATCTGAAAAGTGTAAAGATAGAGGAAAATCGATAAAAAATAAAATAAAAGAAAGTAATAATAATAAATAAAATATAAAAAAATAGTAAAAAAACCTTTTGGAAAAGTTATTAACATGATCGTGATGACGTCAATACAACCGCATTCACCGGCAGACGTAGGTAAGTCACTCTCCTTCAGTGTCATTGACGTGTTTTCAAGAGGGATCACCTTATACATAGAAATATTATTTTCTAGACAACGAATAATAATTCATTTTATGTTCAATAATTGTGTGGGTAGTTTAATGGTCATGGTGGTCATCTTCTAAACCTGATTCCTCGTTCGATTCCAAACGGATAAATTCTGGAGCCAGAATCCATTTTGTGCAATCACCACCACCTTATGGTGTAGAATACCTAAAAAAGGTTGAAGTACGTATATCAATCAACTTCCCAAAATTGTTTGACCACTAAAGCTGAAGGTCAAGAGCGATGGTTGAACTCATTTTCGGCCCTAGGTACGAAATATACTATTTCATCCACTTCCCTATTGATAAGTAAAGACATACCTTTCAGGTGAAAATCCAATAAGAGAATTTT